CCTTGCTGAAGTATTTTAAACCCCAGCCACCACGACATGTCGTCCCTAAACACCTCACGGTGCACCTCTGGAAGCCAAGGGCATCTCCTGCGGGTTCCCAATGCCGTCCACACACCCCACATTCTAGTCATCTCTTAATATCTTCTAATATCCACGCTATATTCAGATTTCCCCGGCTGTCCCCGATTTCTTTACAATCGGACACTTTTCCCTTAAACTGTATTCACTGGACATGGGCGGAGCCCACACTTAAGTGGGTGTAAGTCGGTGATAAGGGGGGGTCTTCAGAGCCAGCCCAGGAGGGGCTTACAGGAACAGCGTGAGCTCACAAGTCCACAAACAGGAAACCTGGGGCTCAGCTGCAAAGTGGGGCACTCTCAGCAGACAAGTTAAACCCATCGCAGGAGTATTATGAAGATAAACTCCGTGGGATAAAGTGCCAAGGAGATACCAAGCGTTCATTCGCTCATTCATTCGTTCAGCAAGGCCCCGTCCCGTGGAGTCTGCATCCCAGCGGAGAGGAGAGAATAATTCATTCAGTCTTCGTGACCGTCTTGCGCGTGGGTACTATTATCGCCCCCCTTTCAAAGGAGGAAGTGAGGTCCACGGCCGTGAAGCAACTGGACCAGGGTCACAGAGGCAGGAAGGAGCCCAGGATTCAAACCCGGCCCCCTGGCGAGACTGCACGTCTACACTCGGCTCCTCTCCTGCAGACAGACAGGCGGACGGCTGCAGAGAGGGTGGAGGGGTACAGGGCCCACGGCCCCCACGTTCGCTCTAAAGTAACCAGGTGAGAGGCCTGGCCCGTGTGGCTCAGGTGGCTGGGCATCGTACACACCCCGAAAGGTCGTCGGTCTGATTCCGTCAGGGCACGTGCTGGGGTGGGGGCTCGGTCCCCAGTGGGGGGCGTGCGGGAGGCAGCCCATCGATGTTTTGCTCCCACATCAGTGTTTCTCTCCTTCTCCCCTCCTCTCTCTCTAAAAATCAGTAAAATAATATTTATATAGAGTATCCGAGGTGAGGCCCTGGCCCGCGCTCGGGTGAGCTGTGGCCGTGTGTCAGGCGGTAGGAACAGTACAAGGACGTGTTTCCGCCGGCTTGTCCTCAGAGCTGCGGGGGCCCGGCACAGAGACCAGGTGTCGCGCGGCCTCCCTGCCGCACGTTCCTGCCCACGAGCCCCCGAGGCCCGCCTCGCGAATCTGCTGCACGGAGGGTTCACGGGGAATCCCCGGGAAACAGCCTGAAGCCAACGGCTTGCGACCGTCCGTCCTTTCTGCTGCCGGCACGTAAGGCGGGGGGCTGACGCGGGCTGAAGTAAACGTCAGGCCGAGCGGGCGCAGGAGGGGCCCGAGGGCGGCTCGGAGGGAGACAGGCAGTTCCGCTGGGCTCTGCCCGACGTGCAGGAGAGTCCACTGCCGGGTCCCACTCACACTCGCTCACTCACAGGCACACACGCTCAGACATCCCATACACAGGTGCACACACTCACACACACATACCCACACACACCCACAGACACACAGTGACACACACGCACTCACACGCATATCCACAGACACACACATTCACACACATATACACTCTCAGATTCACACATGCTCACACTCACAGACACACACGCTCAGACACATCCCATACACAGGCACACACCCACACACACACACCCACAGACACACAGTGACACACACGCACTCACACGCATATCCACAGACACACACATTCACACACATATACACTCTCAGACTCACACATGCTCACACTCACAGACACACACGCTCAGGCACAGTGACACACACATGCACTCACACTCATATCCACACACACATATACACTCTCAGACTGACGCTCAGACACACACGCTCAGACACATCCCACATAGTCACACACTCACACACCCACAAAGACACACAGTGACACACACACACGCACTCACACACGTATCCAGACACACATATTCACACACATACTCTGACTCACACTCACATGCTCAGACACACACGTATTCACACACATATACACCCACAGACTCACACTCACGTGCTCACACACACAGACACACACGCTCAGACACATCCCACATAGTCACACACTCACACACCCACAAAGACACACAGTGACACACACACACGCACTCACACACGTATCCAGACACACATATTCACACACATACTCTGACTCACACTCACATGCTCAGACACACACGTATTCACACACATATACACCCACAGACTCACACTCACATGCTCACACACACATGCACACACGCTCAGACACATCCCATACACAGCCACACAGTCACACATACACACCCACAAAGACACACAGTGACACACACACACGCACTCACACATATCCACACACACATATTCACACACATATACACTCTCAGACTCACACTCACACGCTCACACTCACAGACANAGGCGGGGGGCTGACGCGGGCTGAAGTAAACGTCAGGCCGAGCGGGCGCAGGAGGGGCCCGAGGGCGGCTCGGAGGGAGACAGGCAGTTCCGCTGGGCTCTGCCCGACGTGCAGGAGAGTCCACTGCCGGGTCCCACTCACACTCGCTCACTCACAGGCACACACGCTCAGACATCCCATACACAGGTGCACACACTCACACACACATACCCACACACACCCACAGACACACAGTGACACACACGCACTCACACGCATATCCACAGACACACACATTCACACACATATACACTCTCAGATTCACACATGCTCACACTCACAGACACACACGCTCAGACACATCCCATACACAGGCACACACCCACACACACACACCCACAGACACACAGTGACACACACGCACTCACACGCATATCCACAGACACACACATTCACACACATATACACTCTCAGACTCACACATGCTCACACTCACAGACACACACGCTCAGGCACAGTGACACACACATGCACTCACACTCATATCCACACACACATATACACTCTCAGACTGACGCTCAGACACACACGCTCAGACACATCCCACATAGTCACACACTCACACACCCACAAAGACACACAGTGACACACACACACGCACTCACACACGTATCCAGACACACATATTCACACACATACTCTGACTCACACTCACATGCTCAGACACACACGTATTCACACACATATACACCCACAGACTCACACTCACGTGCTCACACACACATACACACACGCTCAGACACATCCCACATAGTCACACACTCACACACCCACAAAGACACACAGTGACACACACACACGCACTCACACACGTATCCAGACACACATATTCACACACATACTCTGACTCACACTCACATGCTCAGACACACACGTATTCACACACATATACACCCACAGACTCACACTCACATGCTCACACACACATGCACACACGCTCAGACACATCCCATACACAGCCACACAGTCACACATACACACCCACAAAGACACACAGTGACACACACACACGCACTCACACATATCCACACACACATATTCACACACATATACACTCTCAGACACTCACACACTCACAGACACACATGCATTCACACACACACACACACACACCCCCTCCATCTGGGCACAGCTGGCCCGGTGGGTCCCCGTGTGTGACTAAGAGGCGGCCTCTGGGAAGAAAGCCCTCAGCAGCAGGTGTGACGAGGGGGATGGGGCCCGGATCTCAGCCCCACAGCCCCTCCACCAGGCGCCCACTGGGTGCCATCTACACGCGTCCGCGCACTGAGGGGGGCCGTCTGGACTGCGGGTGCTTCGGGTGCTGAGGGGGAAGGGCAGCCAGGAGAAGGGGCAGCTTTCCCTGGAGTCACGCACAGCTTCCCTCCCGCGCAGAACCTTCAGGCTCACGACGGCCACCCGGCCCGAGCAGGGCCCGCCGTGCGCCGGCTCACCTGTTGGGGTAGGTGACGGCGCACGGCACTTTGCCCACGTAGTTCTCGTTGAGCCAGCGGTTCGCCAGCGCCTGCTGGATGTTGGGCCTCTTCACGGGGTCGGGCTCCAGCAGCGAGCGCAGGAAGGTGATGGCTCCTGCAGAGACATCAGGCCAAGAACACAGGTCACGGGCGGAAGCAGACACCACTGAGTCAGGGCAGGTGACCCGCCACCTCCGAGCCACCACGGCGCTGAGCCACCCCCTGGGTCTCCGGGGCCACAAGTCCACGAAGTCTAGGCACCTGTTCAACAGGTGCACCTGGTGTAAGAGAGCAAGAAACACAGGGTCCCTGGTGGCCTGCACTGTCCAGGACAACCTGCGACCTGTCCTTGGGTCACAGTGAGCCAGGGAGATGCCCTGGTCACCGGCTCGAAGGGATGTTAAAGAAGATGCTCCATCTCACGCAGGCTTCTGGGAACTCAGGAAGGAACCAGAGGGTAAAGGCCTTGGAGACCAGGCCCTCCAATGTGTCACTGGGTGACACCCGGAGTCTCAAAAGGGCAGGAAGCCCTGGGCGGTGTGGCTCAGTGGTTAGCGTGCCGGCCCACACACTGGAGGGTCACGGGTTCGATTCCTAGTCAAGGGCACATACCTGAGTTTCAGGTTTGATCGCCGGTCCCGGTCCCGGCCTGGGCTCATGCAGGAGGCAACCGATTGACGTCTGTCTCCTTCCTTCCTTCCCTCCCTCCCTCCTTCCCACTCTCTCTAGAATCAATGGAAAAAACATCCTCTAGTATGAGAATTAAAGAAACAAACCGACGAGGTCAGGGAGGCCCCACTTTCTTTCTGGCCCTTTCATTGAAAGCCATTCTCCACGGTCACCGGAGTGGTCCCCGGACTCTGAACTGGGCAGCGCCCAGGCCCACAGGAGCCCAGGCCCACGTAGCGGAGCCAGTCCAGCCAACGCAGCGCCAGGGAGCCAGTTCTGCCACAGTGTTAAGTGAACTCGAACAGCGACTCTTTAAAATCCTCGCGTGTGTACAAAGGCCCGGCCACCGGCCTCGCTGGGGTCGTGCCAGTCACGGCATGAGGGGAGGGACAGGGTCCGAGGAACCACTGACCAGCTACCAGGTCTCTCCAGCCTCNACTCACACATATCCACACACACATATTCACACACATATACACTCTCAGACACTCACACACTCACAGACACACATGCATTCACACACACACACACACACACCCCCTCCATCTGGGCACAGCTGGCCCGGTGGGTCCCCGTGTGTGACTAAGAGGCGGCCTCTGGGAAGAAAGCCCTCAGCAGCAGGTGTGACGAGGGGGATGGGGCCCGGATCTCAGCCCCACAGCCCCTCCACCAGGCGCCCACTGGGTGCCATCTACACGCGTCCGCGCACTGAGGGGGGCCGTCTGGACTGCGGGTGC